AGGAATTATTAGCAATTGTTTTGGAGAAGCAGAGCATTTTTCAAGGGGTAAGAAGGAAGGAGAATAAGCAGCAAGGATAGTAATTCTTAAAGACGGTGCCAAATCATCCTTCCTTTTCATTCTCTGGATTAATGACCTCAACAGAACCTAACCCAGAAACCATGTTTATATTTTTCTGGCATCAAGTATGCTAGTACCTGGCCTACTGTATTTATATTCTATATTGTGTCTAGTAAAATAATCTAAGAGTTTTGGGAAAACCTTTGGAAAAGCATCAGTGAAAATTACTTGAGGTGAGAGGAAGTGATGGATATTTTATTATGGAGGATCACAAAGGCAACTAGCAAGCAGATTTTTAGCAATCTGACTTCAGCAGTTTCCTTTGTCTTAAATGAAATTTGTTATAAAAGTAAATAGAAAAAAATGGCAAATAGAGAAAAAAAAGGAAAGAATTCTTTTATCACCTCCACACAGGTCCATTTACTTTAACACTTTGTTCTAAAATTTTAAAGTCTTATTTTTTTTTTCTTAAATTAAGATTTGTATTGGTTGACATAAGATTACTTGTTGATAAAGTTTTATTGCTGAGTGCTTTTATTTTATAATTTTCAAGTTGTAAGCTTTTGGTTATAGAGTAAGAATAAGAAATATATCAATCACTGATTAAATTTTAAGCTGTGCCTTTGACTCCTTTCCATGTTATTTTTCTGGTTTGGGAGAATTGACAACCCCTGAAGTTATCTTTGTGGTAGAAATTAAGGGTAATAACTGACTCACTTGAATTTCAAGTACAAATAAAAACAAAAAGCAACTGGAAGTGGAATCTGAACAGTGGAAAAGTAGATGGAAAGTGTCAGAGCTTTCTTTTTTTTTTTTTTGGAGATCTAAAGAAAGATTTTGATTTCCTGAGCTAGGTAGTGAAGCAGGCAGTGATTATTTCAGCACACTGGTTAAGAAATATTTAACATTTTTCTCGTGCCATAAACATTTTTCCTAATCCATTAGCTTCTAGTAAGTTGTTTTAGTGTCAAGAAAATCATTTTGGCTGCTTCATCTATAAGGAATGTGTTAAGAATAAAGTATGTGTACCTATCATGAGTATACCAGTTAATTGCAGAAAAATGTTTATAGTAATTACCTTGTTTTTAGTTTTTATTTGCTTTTTAAAATCATGACTCCAGATGATATTGAGATCATGGCTCAAGATTTAATCATTCTTTCAAACTTTGCTCATCTGTCATGGAAGACTCAAGAAACATATGACTTTTTAATTTTTTTTGGCAGCACTATGCTTTGAATAAGTCTTTTTTTAAATACATATTTTAATTGATTTTATAGAGAGGGAAACATTGATGAGAGAGAAACATCAATTGGCTGCCTCCTGCAGGCCCCCTACTGAGTAATGAGCTGCAACCCCTGGTATATGGCCTGACCTTCGACCTCTTGGTTCATGGGTCGAAGCTCAACCATTGAACCACACCAGCTGGGCTGAATAAATCTATCTTTTAAGTTAAGGGTTTGAAAGTAAAAGCAGGTTAATTAGGTCTCTTATCTATCTAACAGTATTTTTCTCTAATGAGTATATATCATTACTGGCTTTCATATAATTTTTAGTTAGAATTTTTTTATTAGAAAAGCTGAAAATCTAAAAATAAGTTGTTTTTGTCGGTTGTCTTGACTTTTGGTAGTGTTGGTAGAAGTTTGAAAAATTCAGAAAAGTTTAGAGAAGAAAAGTATCCAGTATTTTCAGTATCAATATGATTTCTTAATGTCTGTAGATAATCAACATATGTAATTCTTTGGGTAATGTAAGTTTCCAGTAGCTATATAGAATCTTCACAAAATACATCTTAAGAGTTTTGTGTCAGTGAATGATCTTGTAGGATTATTTATTTATTTATTTTAATATATTTTTATTGATTTCAGAGAGGAAGGGAGAGGGAGAGAGAGAAAGAAACATCAATGATTAAATTCTTTATTAAATTCAAGAGAGAAACATTGATCGGCTGCCTCCTGCACGCCCCCTAATGGGGATCGAGCCTGCAACCCAGGCATGTGCCCTTGACCAGAATCGAACCCGGGACCTTTTAGTCTGCAGGCTGAGGCTCTATCACTGGCCAAACCAGCTAGGGCATTGTAGGATCATTTAAAGATAACTGAAACTTTACAACAAAAAGTTTTCTATTCCTTTTCATCATAATTAAGTTAAAATAAGAGATGTTGACAGTTTCTTACATATTCTAGCAAATAATTTAAAAATATCTTAAAGATGGATGAACTTGAGGATCAAGTGTTCTCTTGCCAACTCTTTAGTTGGCTTTTAAAGAGAATTTTGCTTTCTGAGTAATTTTTAAATTGTTTTTTATTCTGAAAGCAATCTTAGTAATTTACCTGTGACCTAAAATCTTATTATATTCACATCCTACTAGCAATCCTTTGGCTGTGTTGTGTGTGTTTTCTCTCCTTGGCAACTTTTGACTGTACTTATATGATGATTTTACTAATTGCAGTTAAGTTTTGTTTTTGATTGTTAAGAATAGCTTCCTTTTGCTAATGTGATCTACTCTTTTTTTTAAATATGAAAATGGGTTAAATAAGGTGCTTTTTAAGGTTTTGATATTTTTAAAGATTTGTTAAAAATACTTTAATGTGAAGAGAAATAAAAAAACGGGTGTAGGATGACAGTGCATGAAATATTTTAGATGTGTAGCGTATCAGTTTTACTACTCTCTGGACTACATTTTGGAGTTTTGAGATTTAGGCAAAATGCCCACACTTAAAAAAAAAAATCTTACAGGGAGAGGGTGAGGTCAAGACTGTTCCATTGTTTTCTTGTAGAGGGTGGGGCCTAGATTGCTTTTTTTTGGTGTCTGAAATAGAATTTAGGGAAGAAAGTCTAGGGCTTGGCTTTTCTGTGGAACCACCCTGTGAGTGTTTTAGGTTATAAAAGAGTAATGGTGGGATATTTGGGGGGGAAAAGTAGTCCTAAGGCCTTAAGAAGCCCGAGAACAAGTGTTTGTTGGTTTGTTGACTGACTGAATTAAACATGTGAA